AATAATAATAATAATAATAATAATAATAATAATAATAATAATAATAACAACCCTTATCAACCATCAGCGCCAGTCAATGATAGTTGTGATACATTTTCAGTTGACTGAGTTTCATGTGTAATAATAAATAATATTCATTGTCATCAAAATGTTTTCCTAATTATTATATTGTATTTGGTATTGTATTTTCAAATTGAAGCTGTAATCTAATTCATAAAGGCAATTGTTGGACTACTACATTTATTGTTCTTGTCAGTAAGAGTCAAATGGTGTGAAAAATATATTTAAATGTAGAACTGTGAGTTACTATGTTAATTTAATCTGAAAAATCTTGCACATATAAAGGAGCTACGCAAACAACTATATGTTCATAATAAAATCAATGTGATTTTTGTTTTGTTTTTCTGTTGGATTGCTGCAGGCTTTCAGAAACCTCCCATTTCAATTAAACTCAGATAGTACTTCATTTAGAAAAAAATCAATCTGTTCTCTAAATGCCTTGTCCTAACTAAGAGGAAATATAATTTATTTGTATTGTGCACAATGTTTTATTCTGAGTCATTCCTTTCTTACCAAATGCTGCTGCAGAGGATTCCGTTTGTAGTAGTTGACCCCATAAGTAACAAGTATAATGCTGCTCATGTAATAATTTAACTTGTGCATTTAAAACTTTATCCACTGCTTCATCAAAATAATCAAAATACTGTTTAGATTCATCTGTTATATTCATCTAATAGCAATATCATAATTTTGAGCTACTCATGTTTTTAAAGAGAAATCCTGAAAATGAAGGGAGACATTTTAATGATAAAGCAAATCTACTGAGTTTTAAACATTCTGTGTACATTATATTTAAATACAAGATACTGTATAATTCCCTACCAGTCTAAAATTCATTCTCAGTAGAATGTCTTAAACATAAGTATTATCCTCAAAGTGCTGGCTGGACAATCTCAATCATGATAGATAGGATTTGAATTAATTAAAGTTGAAATCGTTATGAATATTTACCAGGAAAAAGATAGAGTTTAACTTCAGATAAGGACATTTTGTTAGGTTTTTATCTCTGTAATTGCACTCATGAGCTAATGTACCTTAGGGAAAAAACTTCCTTTCAGAACAATTATATTTACATCTCATTTTGCAAAATTTAAAGAGAATTGTCCAGATTATACATCATTTGCACTAGATGAGCCTGCATAAATTATACATACATACAAAGACACACATATATTTCATGTTTCTAGATTGCCCCTCTCCCTCAAGGAGGGACTCTGGGTGATGTACAGAATAATCAACATATAAAACAGCATATATCCTGGCTTGTGAAAACAATTATCGAATTAACCTGTTTTGGAAACAGGGCCTCAATGAAACTGCAAATAAAGTCTTTATTGATTAGCTGTTGTTTCTGTGAAGATGATATTATAGCAAATTTCTTGGAAATGAAAGCTGCTAATAATTTCAAATTCACGTGGAGCAATCAAAAGGAAAAGAGGAAATTAGCCTTATAGCAAACATTTTATTAGGAAAAATTAGCATTGTATTTTTTTCCTATTCTGCTACCTTGTTTTTGGTCTCATTTTTATTTAGAGTTAATATTATTGTCATAAGCTTCTAATGATATCCACTTGATGATAACATGCTACTCCAAAGGCTTATTACGTTCAACATTCAACATTTCATGCAGATACTCAACCTAACACAGGAATAAATCTCACCGATCTCAAGGGGTTTGGAGTAAGCTCTTTTGCATATCTAGTCTTAACTGTTGTTCAATCACTTCTGAGTGTTTGTGAACTTGACAAACAGTATTAAGCCAGGATAGTCTATCAGTAACTGCTTCTTTGATCTCATGGTTGTGTTAAGCTGATGCTTGTGTCATCAGTGTAGCGATTACATCTAGCCTCCTTGTCTTCTTTTGATCTCGTTTTGATTGCCTTTGATTTTTCCAAGCATGTGGGAAATGGTTCTTGCTTTTTTATTATATGTTCAAAGTCCTAAAGCTTTAGCTTTAGCTTCATTGTCAGT